CATCGTCAGAGCCTCCCCTTCTTCAAAGAGATCTGAAATTGTTTGCGGGCCTGACTCTCTGCTCTCTAGCTTTGTTGGAGAGGTTGGCGAGTGATCATAGGGCATAATCCCTTGGGAAGAGCAGCAGGAGCTGGGCTTTCCTTACCTCGCTCAGGTTTTGGCAGCTAAGACTGGCAGCAGGGGTATGTGTGTGGGGTCCGGTAGTGCTGAAGCCCCCAGTCTAATTCCAAGACACACCCTGCCCTGCTATTGTCCTCCCCAGACTCGCTGCCATTGGCGGCAGAAAGAGCATTTGGATGACTTGGGTTTTCTTTTCCCCTGGAGGTACTGCAGATAGTAGGTCACTGGGCAGGAGCCGCAGCAGTTGCACAGGATGTTTTTGTTGGATCAATGACTGCTAGCTCTGGCAGTATGCTCAGTGCTCGGCCAAGGCCATAAGGTCCATCTAGCCCAGTATCCTGTCTACCAACAGTGGCCAATGCCAGGGGCCCCAGAGGGAATGAACAGAACAGGGAATCATCAAATGATCCATCCCCTGTCGCCCATTCCCAGCTTCTGGCAAACAGAGACTAGGGACACCATCCCTGTCCATCCTGGCTAATAGCCATTGATGCAAACAAGGAACTCTTTATCAGGGGAAGGAGAACAGTCCAACGTGAAATAACAGTCACAGGATAGATACACAAATAAAGAATAAAATGCCTGCCCTGCTCTCCTTTGGCAGTCGTCCATCTAACTCCCTTCCCACGTGCCCGTGAGAAGGTCTCCCAGGTGATACCCTCTTGGCCACACCACCTCGCTTATCCACCAAGCCCTGCTCATGGTTCACATCAGGGTGTTGCAGTCATCCAAATGTCTGTTTGCAACCCTGTCTCCAGTCCAAGGCAGCTGCTTGTCCAGAGGCGCCACCATCTAACCCAGATTAGTGATTCAGCTTTATTAAAGATTCAGTTTTATTAAGATGCTGACTGGGTAGCAAGGGCCTCACCAGAGTCCACCAGCTTCTCTGCAGCAGCTGTGCTCTGTGTTCTTTCTTGCCACAAAGTCCTCACTCTTTGTTATCTCTCACAGCAAAATCTCCAGAGACAGGGAGACAAGAGCACATGGGACTTTTCAGCAGACTCCTGGCTCCTTGTAAACAGTTCATTCCCCCCTTGTGAGCCTCTCTGGGGGGGCTCACTACCCCAAAATCCAAGTTCCTAGATAGTTATGGTGACCACTCAAGAGCCGATAGAAGAATTGTGGGTAAGTTGCCTATACAAATGAATCTCTGTGACAACACTTTTCAGCAACAGAGGGACTAGAGAGTTCTTCCCCTCAGGAGCTCCTGGCTGTAGGGTTTACATGGAGAGGGGATGTGGCCAGTTGGGATACGAGTCGCTGTCTTTCACAGTCTAGTAGTGAAATGTCTCTTGTGGTTTCAGGTTTGTTCACTGTTCAGTGACGCTTTATGGGTTTGTTCCCAACTCAGAGTCCAGAAAACACCTTAGAACTTCCCAGATGGTGCTAAACTGCTTTTGGCTCCAGCTCTGACCTGAGAATTGGAGGTGGGCGATTAATTTATTCTGCTAATAGGAAATTCACGGAAACATGCCAAATAGGGGGTTTTTTTTGGGGGGGGGGGGGGGAGGGAAGAAGTTGGTACTTAGGCACCATTCACAAAATGAATGGAGGAGCTGACAGCCCTGGCACCTGTCTTATAAACTTTAAGGCCAGTAGTTAGGGTTAGAATTGTCCTAACAGAAGGGAACTGATCACAGAACTAAAAGTCAGTGGTAACTTAGGTACAAGTGATCATGACTTGATCACATTTAAAATGTGCAAACAGAATAGAGTCCAGACCAGTAATATACATACTTGGTGCTTCTTCACGAGGGCCAATTTCACAAAGCTGAAAACAATTATGAATGGAATCAACTGGGAGGAAAAATTTAATCAGAAAAATCTGAATAATTGGGAATCATTTAAGAACACCTTACTACTGTGGGTCCAAAAAGCCACAATTCCACAGTGGAGGAAGAAGGCCATGCTGGTTAAATAACCAACCTGGTTTAGAGAGAAAGTGAAGGCAGCTGTAAAAAAATAATAATATATAAGAAAAAATAGAACAAATGGAAGAAAGGGGAAATGATAGTAATGAATATAAATCAGAAGTTAGGAATTGTAGAAAATTGCTAATGGAAGCCTAGGGATACAAGGAGAAATCTAAGGCCACCAGTGTTAAAGACAATAAGGGGTTTTGAATATATACCGTATTGGGAATAAAAATAATCTTCACAATGGTATTGGTCCATTACTAGATGAAAATGGGAGAATTATAAATAATAATGAAGAAGAGGCAGAAGTTTTCAATAAATATTCCTGGTCTGTATTTTTCGGGAAAAAACAAATGATACACTCTCATCACACAGTGACGATAACACTCTTTCTGTTCCACTAGTATCTCTGGAGGATGTTAAACAGAAGCTAATAAAGTCAGACATTTTTAAATCAACAGATCTAGATAACTTGCCCCCAAGAGTTTTAAAAGAGCTGGCCGAGGAGCTTGCTGGATTACTAGTGTTGATTTTCATAAGACTTGGAGCACTGGGGAAGTTCCAGACGACTGGAAGAAAGCTAAAGTTGAGCCAGTTTTTTAACATGGTAACCAGGATGACCAGCGTAATTATAGGCCTGTCATCGATCCTGGGCAAGATAATGGAGCAGCTGATTAGTCTAAAAAATGTAACTGTAAGTGGGGAATTGTTATTGAGTGGCTCTGTTTCCAGCAGGGTTCCTCAACATTGGTTCTTGGCCCAATGCTATTTAGCATTTTTATCAGTGACCAGGAAGAAAACATAAGATCATGACTGAAGTTTGCAGATGACAAAAACTGGGGGAGAGGTAAATAATGAAGAGGACAGGTCACTGATTCAGAGGGTTCTAGACTGCTTGGTAAACTGGGTGCAAGAAAACAATTTGTGTTTCATTACAGGTACTCCTGGGGGAATTCTGCACCAAAATATTAAAAATTCTGTGCACATTATTTTAAAATTCTGCATAATTCTGCATATTTTATTGGTCAAAATGACACAATATTATCATGCCGGTTTCAATTATTTTGGTAATTTATTTCAAAATATCTGTCAGAACTATGTCTGTAACAATACAGACAACAAAAAAAGATTCAGGAAATGTTTTTTGACAAATAGATTCCTTACTATGCATATTAATACAGAACTTTGAGTAATAATTCATTTAAACTACAATACAGAAATATATGTCCCGCACCCCTCAGAAGCAGTGCAAAGGCTTTGGGGAGTCAGGAGTAATGGAGGAGCTGAGGGAGAGGGAAGTAATTCCACATCCGAGGTGGAATTCAAACTCAAACATCTTAATGGGACTAAACTGGGGACCCGCATAATCTCCATCCAAGAATATTAAAGGAGTGGGCACACGAAATTGCAGACCCAATAGCAAGGATTTTTAATGAATCTGTAAAGTCACTGGCTTCAACACTGAGCTTGGTAAGTTTATGGAGAGGATGGTATGATGGGACTGGCTACAATGGCGCGTAGCCGATCTGCGACTGCTGGCAGCAATTATCTCCAATGGCCGGTGATGGGACGCTAGGTAGGGAGGGCTCTGAGTTACTACAGAGAATTCTTTCCCAGGTGTCTGGCTGGTGGGTCTTGCCCACATGCTCAGGGTCTAACTGATCACCACATTTGGAGCCGGGAAGGATTTTTCCCCGGGTCAGATTGGCAGAGACGCTGAGGATTTTTCACCTTTTTCTGCAGCATGGGGCACAGATCACTTGTAGGTGTAACTAGTGTAAACGGTGGATTCTCTGTAACATGTGATGTGAGGATGTCAGTAACTCAGCGAGAGGTTAGGGGTTTGTTCCAGGAGCGGTGGGGGGGGAGGGGAGGGGGAGGGTCTGTGGCCTGCAATGTGCAGAAGGTCAGACTAGATGCTCATGCTGGTCCCTTCTGACCTTAAAGCCTATGAGTCTATAGAAAGTCAATGTCCCCTTTGGCCATTTGCCCACAGCAGAGTCACAGTACAAAGTGCCCCGAATGTCTGTGTCTGCTCAGCAAACACGGCTCTGTGGGATAGCAGGAGGCTGGGGGCAGGACTGAGGGGCCTCGGCCGAGCTGTGGGGGGACACCAGAATGATGACAGCAGACGTACATCAAACTGTTACTATGGGAACTTGGCCGTACTCCTCCACACGTTAATAGTCACCCCGTGGCCCAGGCTCGGGGCTGGGCACCGCTCTGTTACCGCTGCCTGGCTCACGTTCACTGTGCACAATATAGGGGTGAAATTCAGAGCGGCTGCAATCCCAGTGCCACCAGTGGAGTTGTGCCCAATTGCACCCGCCTGGAATATGGCCCCATATCAGCTGTCAGCTCTGCTCTTCCACCCTCCTGGGGCTCCTCAGGGTCAGAGGCGTCCCAGAAGGGCCCAAGCAGCTGCAGAGTTCATGGATGGACAGGCCAAAGCCAGCCCGGCTCTGCTGATGGCCCAGGGCTAGCAGTGACAGCAGGACAGCTGGAGTTCGGGGGAGGGCTGTGAAGGAGCGTTGGGTTGATGGGGGAAGGGAGAACAGGTGCCTCAGCCCCAGGTTGGGAGAAGGGACGGGGAGCCAGAGAGCGGGTTGTACTCAGAGGAGGGAGCAGGCTGGGAAATGGGCAGTGGGTGTTGGGAGGAGGGAAGGGCTGGAAGCAGCAGCAGCAGCAGAACTGCTGGATTAAAAGCCATCTGGGGTTTGGAGCCGAGGCCCCTCTGGCTCGTGTGGGATCAGAACCACGTTGCCTGTAGGGGCAGGGAAGGGGAGGGGGACATGGCCAGAACGGCGCAGGATGGAGACAAACGACAGGAGAGACGCAGGAAGGGATCAGTGGAGTTTATTAGGGGACAGTGGCTCATTCCTGCACCAACCTCCCCCCTCCCACCTCCAGTGCAGGGCGAGGTGCTTCCCCGCACCATGGACTGTGTCACTCCCGCTTCCTAGCACTCATCCCCCGGCTGGGTGCCGTAGACCTCGACCTCACACAGGGTGAGATACTCCGCCCTGCCCGGGATGGTGACAGTGACGTAGCGACCTTCCAGCCCGTTGCAGCAGATGGTGCTGAGGGATCCTGGTGTGGTGTCGGTGATGGTCCCGCAGCTGCAAAGAGCAGAAGACAAGAGCGAGAGGCTGAGATTAGGGGGCACAGGCAAGTTGGCAGCAGGACTGACGACCCTTTAACTCTGAGCCTGCAGAGGCCAAAGCACGGAGTGAATGACAGACTGTAGGAGACGGGGTGTGTCCCTGTTCCCGTCACAACCCAACTCTGACTAGAAATAAGGTTCACATTTCATCAGTCAAGGTCATTAACCGAGGGGGCAGATAACCGAGGGACATAGTGGATTCTTCTTCCCTTGGAGTCTTGATATCAAGACCGGATGTCAGTCTAAGGGCTCGTCTACACTGGCAAGTTTTGTCACCCAAAACTACCTTTTGGCGACAAAACAGCGATAGCGTACACACTGCAATGTGACTTTAAAAAACAAAAAAAACGCCCAGTTTTGGCGACAAAAAACTTCCACCCCTGGGAGATACTTTTGTCTTTTCCCCTCCTTTTATTGTCAACAAACAGCCAGTGTAGACACCACGCCTTTTTTTTTATTGGCCCCCAGAAAGTGTCGCACAATTCCCATGCTGCCGTTCTGGTCAGCGGTTTGAACTCTGCTGTCCTGCAACCAACCCGCCCCTCCCCCTTGCAAGCCCCGGGAATTTTAAATCTCATTTCCTCCTTGCTGGCTTCCCAGGTGAGCGTGGCTGGCTATCGCACCAAACGTGCTCCCGCTTGGACCAGCGTGGAGCTGTTGGATCTGATCAGTATATGGGGAGCGGAGTCTGTTCAGCCGCAGCTGCGGGTGACCCGTAGGAATCAGGACACATATGGGCAAATTTCTCGAGGCTTGTGTGAAAAGGGCTCTGATCGGGACACGCAGCAGAAGATAAAGGAGCTGAGGCAGGTGAACCACAAGGCATGGGAGGCGAACCATTGCTCTGGTGCTGCATCTAAGACCTGCCGCTTCTATAAGGAGCTGAATGCTATCCTTGGTGGTGACCCCACCTCCATCACCGATAGCCCCATGGATACTTCGGAGGCAGCAGAAAGAGGGGGTAACCCGGAGGCTGAAATTCTAGATGAAGAAGAGGATGTGGTGCTCCCAGCGGGGTCGCCCAGTGGGGCAGGCAACCAGGAACTTTTCTCCACTCCAGAAGTGCTCAACGGGGAGCAGGAAACAGATGAGACGCTGGGTAAGTTGCTGTGGCTTGTGTAGGGAATCGAAAAGTGGGAGGCAGGTAGTGTTCTCTGTGAGCTGGACATTGCCCTGTGTAGCTAATCTGCATGGCCAAGCAGGGTGTCGATGGACATCGAGACCTGCAGGGAATCCTCCAGAGAGGCTCTGGAAAGTTTCCAAGAGTTACTTGTTAATCCTCTGCCGCCGATTCCAAGGGATTGTAGCCTTGTTAGTTCCCTCATTGTAGGAAACTGTCCCCTGCCATTTAGCAACCGCTGGAGCTGGGACCAAAGCGGCACATAGTGAGCTGCATATAGACCGGGGTGAAAGCCACAAGCATGCAGTAGTTGTGCCCTGGTTTCCCTGGTTACCGCAGCAGTGAGATGTCACCCAGCAGTGACAAAGTGAAAAAATGTGGGATAATTTTAGAATGTGTTCCCTGCAAAGCTGCCCTGCAAGCCGTGACCATTTTGTCCGTTCGCACAAACGCCTCCCCCCCACTCCCGACACTCACCGTGATTGGGGTGCTCGTGAACAGGGCCGGCTTCAGCTGTTTTGCCACCCCAAGCGGCAAAGTGGGAGAAAAAAATATAAAGCCGCGATCGGCGGCACTTCGGTGGTAGCTCTACCGCCGCCGCTTCATTCTTCGGCGGCGGGTCCTTCCCACAGAGAGGGACTGAGAGACCCGCCGCCGAAGACCCGGACGTGCCGCCCCTTTCCATTGGCCGCCCCAAGCAGCGGCTTGCTGGGCTGGTGCCTGGAGCCGGCCCTGCTCGCGGAGCTGTGTGCCTGCCTAGAGTCTCCGAGAGAAAGTGATTTCTACTAGCAAAAGGCCCTTGTTACTGAAATGTTTCAATCGTCTGTTGGAATGTAACAATCCCTCTTCTGTTCAGCACAGACCTTGAGGAACACACCGCGCACCCCCACGGACCGGCTTCGGCAGATAAGGAAGAACCCTAAGCGCTGGGAAGCCGAAAGGCAGGACAGAAAAGAGAACGCTGCATTTGCTAGGCAAGCGACAGAGCGGATAATAAAAGTGATGGAGGATCAGACAGAGCTGCAGACTGAGCAGATCCGTGGTCGAGCTCCACTGCAGCACATGCAGATGCACAATTCTGTGCCAACCCCACCCCCCTCCACGCCCACACATTCCTTTGCACTTCACAGCACTCCTGAGTTTCCCCCTCACTCCACCCGCTCTCACAGCTTGCACAATGATAGCTGGAGCTGCACACAGTTGTGAGGTTTTACCATTGTTAACAATAACTAAAGGCTAAGGTATTTAATGGTACAGCGTTTTTATTCTGTGCTCTACAAAAGCGTATAGCAACCAACTCACTCTCGGGAACAGGCTTCTAAAGCATTGTGTTGCATGGGTCTTGGGCCCCAAAATTGTACCTGGCTGCACCAGGGAAGCACTTTCAAAGCAGACATGTGTTACTGCCCCTCATTGTCCAAGTGGTTCCTCAAGGCCTCTCTGATGTTAATAGCAGCTCTCTGGGTTCCTCTGACAGCTCTAGCATCTGGCTGTTCAAAGTGTGCAGCCAAGCGCTCTGCCTCAGTGCTCCACACCTGAGCAAACATTTCACCCACAGATTCACACAGATTATGCAAAGTGCAGCACGTGGCTATGACCACGGGAATATTATCCTCGGTAAGGTCTAGCCTGCCATTGAGACCCTCCAGCGAGCTTTCAAACGGCCAAAGGCACATTCGACTACCATGCGGCACCTGCTCAGCCTGTTGTTAAAACGCTCCTTGCTGCTGTCCAGGTGTCCTGTGTAAGGTTTCATGAGCCAGGGTTGTAAGGGGTTAGCCGGGTCTCCCACGATTACTATGAGCATTTCCACATCCCCCACTGTGATCCTGTGGTCTGCAAAGAAAGTCCCGCCTGCAGCTTTCTGTGCATCATGCACCTTTCCAGACCAGCCTGCACTGAGGTCCGTGAAACGCTCTCAGTGATCCACAAACACCAGGGAGAAGTACCCCTTCCTATTGATGTACTCAGAGGCAAGGTGGTCTGGCGCTAAAATTGGAATGTGTGTGCCATCAATCGCCCCGCCACAGTTAGGGAAACCCATCTCTGCAAAGCCATCCACTATTTCATGCACATTTCCCAGAGTGACGGTCCTCCGCAGCAGGATGTGATGTATTGCCCTGCACACGTGGAGTAATACAGCTCCAACAGTGGACTTTCCTACTCCAAATTGATTTGCAACTGACCGGTACCAGTCTGGATTCGCCAGCTTCCACACAGCAATTGCAACACGCTTCCCTACCGAGAGGGCAGCTCTCATTCCGGTGTCCTTGCACCGCAGGTCAGGGGACAGCTCAGCACGTAGCTCCAGGAACGTTGCTTTACACATCCTAACGTTCTGTACCCACCGGTCTTCATCCCACAGCTGCATGACAATGCGATTCCAGCCATCAGGGCTTGTTTCCCTAGCCCAAAAGCAACAGGCCACCGTATGCAGCTGCTCTGTGAATGCACAAAGCACTGCGAAGTGGCTGCTGTCTGTATCCCACTCGGGTGCCTGCGATTCATCCTCTGTCAGTAACTCTGCGAGTAACTGTACTGCCATGCGCGATGTCCTCACGACAGCTAGCAGCGCATAGGAGAGAAGTGCGGGATCCATCTTCTCTCACTGCAGATGCTGGTGCGCACTACAAAACAATGACAGTTGGGAAAACGGCGCGAAAGGAAGCCAGAAACCGTTGGAGGGCTGGGACACAAAGCGGTGCATGACGGGACATTTTGCATGTCCCAGGATGTGCCGCGCTCTGTTTCCGCATTCCCACAACACCTAGTGACAGATGGTGTCGCCAGGCACTGTGGGATATACACCCACAGTCCATTGCTCTCGCTGTCGACAATGGTGCCCTGAATGTGGATATGATCTGTTGACAGAGGGAGCAAATGTAGACACACTTCGGCAACTTTGTTTTTGTCGATTTTTCCTTGTCGACATTGGTTTCACCCACAAAACGTGCCAGTGTAGACAAGCCCTAAAAGATACACTGCAGCTCACAGAGAAATTGTGGGCTCAGTGCAGAATCACTGCGTGAGGTGTTCTGGCCTATGTGATACTGCAGGTCCCTTCAGGCCTTAGAAATCGATGGATCCTAGGAAAATCAGTTCCTGTTGCCTTGGATAAGATGATTCTACACGAGGAGCAGCTGCAAGGGCAGAGAGAACACGCAGGGGCCTGGAGAGAGATTGACTCTACCCTGGATTGCCCTGCAGGGGTCGCTGTGCTCAGTGACGTGCGGTTCCCGTCCATCCAGGAACTCAGACCACCACTGGCACAGCACCCGCAGCCTCAGGGAGCTCCCAGGTTAAGACAGGGTGACAGTAAGCTGGTATGCCCCGGTACGGCGTATCAGCAAGAGCCAGTGCACCATACCGGGGTGGATCGGCTTCTCCTGGTGGCAATTTAAAGGGCCCGGGGCTCCCAGCAGCGGCTGGAGCCCCGGGCCCTTTAAATTACCGCCAGAACCCTGCTGCCGGAGCCCTGGGGAAGCGGTGTGGCGGGGCTCCGGCGGCTATTTAAAGGGCCTGGGGCTCCTGCCGCAGCTACCGCCCGGGGCCCTTTAAATCGTCCCCGGAGCCCTGGGGTAGCGGCGGCAGGGCTCCGGCGACTATTTAAAGGCTCCGGGGCTGCGGCAGCCCCTACCGCCCCGGCTCTTAAAATAGCACTGGAGCCCCGCCCTCGCTACCTCCGGGCTCCAGCAGCAGGGCGCCGGGGACGATTTAAAGGGCCCGGGGCTCCCAGCTGCTGCTACCACAGCCCCAGGCCCAGGCCCTTTAAATCCTGATTTAAAGCTCCCAGGAATTTAAAGGCCCCGCCTCTTCTGGTAGAGACCACGCCCCCTCCTAAGGACTCTGGAGTATGGGTAAGTCCTTTAAGTTACTTGCACCCCTGGGTTAAGAGACCACGCCCTGGCCTCGGCTGGCAATGAGACCCAACCCCTGTGTCTGAGCTGGGAGGAGTCGTCTCACTCCAGAGAATGGAGAAGCAACTCACATGGGGTTCTGCTTGCCATTGTCGGCCAAGGAGTCTCCCACGCGGATCTGGGCTCCCCTGATTCTCTCCCCACAGCATTCTTCTTCCCTGTTCTTTATGATCACTGCGGAGACAGACTGACGACTGCCCAAGTCCACGGTCCACCACGGCTCTGTGTCGAGCTGCGTGTGGCTGCAGGAGCTTTGTTCCCAGTTCCCATCGCGTTTTCCATCCACGGCCTTTCCAGCCACAGCGCTTCCAGTCACGTCGTTCTCATACGTGGAGGACTGAGTGGCCGGGCGTCCCAGCGCCAAGTTCTGAGCTGGAATCAGAGGGCGAGAAGAGGGGAGGTGGGACGTGCCCATCGCTGGGGGGCTCTAGACACCCTTTGTCCCACATGGAGCCAGAGCGGCTTCCCGGCAGTGACACAAACCAGCCACTGCATGAGAGCCAGGTTCATAGTGGGAGCCATGGCCCCAGGGGATGGGAGTGACAGCAGGTCTGTGCTGGGGTCTCAGCCCAGACAGAATCGCTTTCAGCCCCTCTTGTCCCATACCCAGCTGGAGCTGCTCCCCAAGGCAGGGATGGGGCAAGATGTTCAGATGGAGCCTCCCCCATCTGCTCCTGCCAGCTGGAGCCCCTGCCCAGGTCAGTGGTGGGAAGGGAAGAGTGTCCCAGGGTTTCTGCTGTCTCACTAGGCAGAGGTTGGGGCAGAAGGGAATGGGGTATAAAATAAAAGAACATTGTGCCAGCTCCTTACCCCCTGGTGGTGGGGTGCAGCCCTGAGACACACCAGTCCCTGCAAGGATCCCGATCATCATCAACAGACGCCAGAGAAACTCCATCCTTGCACTGTCAGCATAGGAGATCACATGAATGTTTTATTCAGAATAAACTACAGCCATAGCAAGTTTCAGATGAGCACCTCACACATGCCGGATGGTCCTCATTTTAGAGAGGGAAACTGAGGCACAGGGAGCTAGCAACTTGTAGCAAGTAAGGGGCTGACTTGTGACTAGAACCATGGTTCATTGGTCTATTCCCCTCCTCAGCCTACTAGACCATCCTACTGTGTTTATGACAATGTCTTCTGATTAGTTTACACTGGTCTTTTGGGGACAAAAGGTGGCTTTATCCAGTGAACCTGTCCCAGGGTGACTAGATCCTTTAATATAGGTCCTTATCCATCCATCAGTCAGGCTTTGTATGCCAATCTAATTATGGCTTGGTCAGTTACAGCTCAGCCAAAAATCATTAAAAGTTAGAGTTGAGAAATTTTATCAAATTATTTCTAGTTTCTCTGGAAATTCACCTGTTAGTAGAATCACGGGTACCCAAGTTAAGGTTGAGAGCACATATCGGTCATTTAGGTAAAGTACATTACAGAGCTGTTGTAATGATCCAAAAAACAAACCTTAAAAACCAAAGAAATTCACAGCTAGAGTTAAATATAAAAAAGATACAAACATGTTGAGGTGTGAAAATACACAGTTAAGGCACCCAAACAACCTTAACTCTACCCGGTAGTTGTCCCGGGAGGAAAAAAAATCTAATGTGTCTTTAACAAATCAGTTTAATGTTATCTGAGTTCCTCCCCACTAAAATGCCTTAATCATAAGGGTGTGGGGTTTGCACGGTGCCACGGCAGGGAAGAATTAAGATGTCTGCTGACAAAGAACATTTCTGTAATAAAGAATAACAGGAAAAAGGTATAATAATCATATACTAGACTATTCAAATGTAACCCAGGCACAAGATTGCAGTGAGTTTTAACTGTATGGAAGTTATGACAGGGCAAAGTTAAAGTTGTGTGGGTGACCTTAACATATCTGGATTTCTTTTAAGTTTAATCGTAATTGTGAATTTCCTGAGTTTATGATGCTTGATTCCGGATAATAGCATTGTCCCTGTAATGTGGTTTACCCTGCATTACTGATATGCTCTCCCAACTGCAACTCTAAGGTAGTTTTCTGGCTGGAATTTTAATTGTTTTTTTAAATAACAAGTGTCGTACATGAAGTGACGAAGCGGGAATTGTCTGTAATATTTCTAGGAATGAGATGCGGGGCAGTGACTGACTCGACTAAGGACTGTTATCCAGTGGGCACAAAAGGGTTAAAAAGCTGCTCTTGGGGCAGAGCAGGAGATGTGAGGTGCTGGGTCACTAGCTGGCCGGGGTGGTGTGAATGGGTCGTTGAGGGACTGGCTGAAACCCACCCAGATCAATGGAGGATCTGGAAAGACAATGGAGACCCCCAAGGACTGAACAGTTGGCCCCTATCCACAGGGCCCTCCAGCAGGTGGAACTTGCGAACTCAGCCTGAGTCTACA